AAGTGTCCTCAACAGCATCAGCGTCACAATCCTGTATTTTTAAAGTTTAAGTCATAATCTATCATTACATTCTGTTTTCCCATTATAGTTCAAGCACATAGGAATAGCGTGGGCTCATATGGTGAATGTTTCCTCATACAGCTCTGACAATCCACATCACTGCCAATTATGCCAAACTGTGCAGTGGTTTTGAGCATGCTCCTGCTGAATGTCATCATCACCTGTTGACTTCAGTCCTTAGTGCTACCCAACATCTGGTCCTTTGTGAAATGCATAAATGTCCACTGGGACCTCTGCTGAAACCACCAAGTGCATATCTGTAGCCCACTGCAACTGATAAGAATAACCCATTTTTATGGTGGAAAAAAATCATATTTATAAATAATCTTGAATTTTAAGCAAATCTTCCAAAAAAGAATTTACATGGTGCCTAATGAAAAAAGTTAAAGATTGTTGGAGACAAATTATTTAGCATGCAAAAGACCAAATGTGCAAATAATTTGAGAGCTTGTATTTAGAAAAATACAGTAGGCAAAAACTGCTCAACAAATTTAGGAGAAGAGTAATTAGCATATTTGCTATGCATATTTGCACACCAACATAAATTATGTATTCAGAAACTTCTCAGATAGGTAACAACTTCCTTTAGAATCTAAGAAAAGACGTCAGTATCAGGCTAAAGATACCTGTCAAAGGTTAAATCTAATTTCAGTTTAGATGGAAGAGCTGCCTCAACTGAGAAAGTATGATAAACATTTAGTGTCTGATGGAGCAGCAAGGATGAGTCTATACAAGAAAGAGAAAATGCAGCATAGCAAAGCCATAAAAATCAATGTGGTAGGTAGCGGCGGGGACAAAAGGAAACTGAGGAGACATTGGCATGACTTAAGAAGAAGAGATCCCACTTTAAAGAAACCAACAGAAGCAAATATGCCTGGTCTACTGGAGAGTAACTTGGTTTAGGGAAAACTTTAACCCATCCTGAGTCAAGATTTTTAATGAACACAGTCATATGTGTATTGTACTACACCATGCTCTCAGTTGCCCTGGTGCAAAGCCAGACAAATTTCTTTGACTTCAATGGATCTACACCAAGATAATGGAGGAGAATTAGGCCTATTATGTACAGGATACACTGTCTTAACAGGTGATTCACCTGTAACTTCATCATCACTGTCTATCCCTATCCATTTTTATGTATAGTAAATATATTTGTTTCTTAACATACAGTCACATTTCAGTTTGTCCAGACTTTTATGGAGCAGTAGGAGGATATAAAAGTAGACCAGCAGCTCTCTTAATCCCCACACTCCAACAGCTCTCCTGGGCAGGTGGGCAGGTGAGTCTAGTGTGAAGACTAGAATTCTGACCTCCCCAATGTGTGGCTGATCTCCATGGCTGCTGGGAGAGTGCGCAAAGCTGGGATTTATGGCAGATGGTTATGGCCTGCAGCCCTCAGATAGTGGCTGTCATTTCCATTTGCTACTCTGACATCATGTGGCCACAAGAGCAGGTATTCAGCAAGGATCCAGCCTGTTTCTTCTGTCTCCCATTTGACTTTTGAACTATGATCTATAGCAGATGTCTCCTCACACTGTATTCCTTGCCACCAGAAAGGCATTATTCTCTCCTGTTCTTATTCCCCAATGCTTGCTCAGCCCTAGAACCAACCAATCTACCACTCATCTTCTGCCAGTGGGGAATTGTTTTTCCTATTGGGACATAGTTTCTCCTTTGGGTGCTGGGTCTCACTCTTGCTTCTCAGCTTAGCTGTCTTGTTCTAATGCTCGGGTGACTTCCACTGTGGCCCTCTGTAGCGGGGTGGTCACCCCGCTCTGGTCCTGAAGGGATTAAAGCAGCCCTGGAGAGGGCTGTGGCTGGAAAAAGCTGGGCTGATTGGAGAAGCGGCCACAGCTGTGGCCAGCTCAATCAAGGCCCAGCTGGCCCTATAAGAGGGCTGAGGGCCAGAGGCTGAAAACAAACACTCTCTCTAGCTCCTTAGAGAGAGAAGGACCGGGCTGCCTGGGAAGCTGAGGAGGGTACCTAGGGTGGAGCAGTGCCGGGGAAGGGCAGAGGGAGCTGGGGAGCTCCAGCCTAGCAAACCCCCAGGCTGCAGGTTTAGTTAAGGGCCCACAAAAGGGGTACTGGGGCTGCAGAGGGGCAGCCCAGATATAGGCAGAGGCAGCTGGTCCAACCCCTCTTGCCGATGATGAGTAGTTTATAGACTGCCGTCTGCCCCAAGGAGCGGGGGCTAAATGATGATTGGCAGTAGCCACTGAGGCCAGGTGGCCAGAAGCCTCCAGTGCAGTCCACTTCTCTACCGCCACTTACTACAGCTTATCCACAGACCAAACCACCAGTGTGTGGCCAGGAGCAAATTTTCCAGTAGGGTTTCTAAAACCTCTCTAGAGCCCCGTCCCAGCATCCTGTTCCTTCAGCGACATGCTGAGGGAGTTTGCCAAGGAAATAATCAATGAGTGGGAATCAATGACTGGGTGGCTTTTGGGGGTGGAGGTAGTAGTGCTGACCATTTTTCTAAGGCATAAGTTAAATCTTCTGGCTAAAGAGTTGTCAGATCCAAGGAAGCTCACCTAGAATAAAGCTACCAAACTCAAATTGCTCTACTCTTTAAGATACTCAGCTACCATAGTGTTATATAACATAGCAAGGGAAAGGCAAAGAAAGGTAGGACACAGACCATTCATTGTGCTAGCCAGACAGTCAACCACTATGTTGGGAGACAATCAATCCAACAGAAATCTGCAGATCTTTGGCTACTGTGAGGGTTAGTTAAGGTATGTCTACAGTATAGTGGCTCATTTATGGTGCTGCAGGTGTGTTGATGTATCGCCATAGTGTAGATGCTTCCTACATTGACAAAAAGGGGTTTTCCATTGATGTAGTTAATCACTTCTCCAAGAGGTGGTAGCTAGGATGGAAGAATTTCAACGTACACCGTGGGTGATGTCAATCTAACTACAGTGCTCAGAGTGCACAAATTTTGACAGCTCTGAGTGATGTAGCTAGGTCGATCTAATTTTTAAGTGTAGATCAGGCCTTAGAGCCAGTACTTAGAGCAGTAAGCAGGAGGAGGAAACTAGAGGGGAAAAACCAAGAAATTTACACTGAATGTCCCCACATTTACACACTGGATGAATAGGGCTTTATAACCAGGAAGGGATAAGGTGCTGGCAGTTTGGCAGGTTTTTAATTACAGCAGTGTATCCCTGAAAGTGAAATGCAGATCAGCAGGCCCATCAACTGGAGGTCCCCTCAATATCCCAGGTAGAGCCACCTACGACTAGGGGTGATGATGCAGGCAATGCCAACTAAGCAGTATGTAAGCTGTATCTTGATGCCCATAGTCCATTATTTAGACCACAAGTAAATGAAGGTTCGTTGCCTCATAAATTTGATCATTTTGGATGCAGTGGAATTCAGCCCTCCTACAGATTAGAGATTGAGTAGGGATTAATAGATGCTGGTCACCAGAGAGCCCATATTCTCCATACAAGAGGCAGACGTTCCTGCATAAGTGACTGGCAACGTGGACTCTAGGAACCTGTGCATCATTTGTGAGTGGGGAGGGAATTTGTGTAAGTCCCTTCTCCAAAACTCAGTTTGCAAGAATTAGTTTCCATTATGCCTGACCAATATGTCCCTTTCATTAGTATTTATTTTCTTTCTACCGTGTCCACAGCAGATACTCTCGCACACTACAACCTGCTCTAAGGGATCACCCAACCTATCAAAAACCTTTTGCCTAGAAATGGTCTTTACATGAGTGTCTTACTAAACTACAGAAAGCCTGGGGGGGGGGGGATGTTTTAAAGGGGCCACTTCATACTCAAGCAAATTTTGCAGTGTGTATACATGAATATTTTTAAATTATCGCTGGTAAAAAAGATAAAATCAAACCATTATTCTGCCTTGCTACAGCATTCAGCCAGGAGACAAAAAGCCCATAAGTAGAAGGGAGAGGGTGAGATCAGGTAGCTCAATATCTACACAGCTCTAGTCATCAGTTATCAGATGGTACCCTTTGTTAAGTTTATGACTGACAGCAAGGAGCTTTACTACTACTGCAAATGTCAGCCCCAGATCATTATTTGATTACTATCATTGCTGGCATAAAGGTCCTCATGTAGAATAAAACTAATGTTGCTGTCGTACAATTCAGTGCCCAGCCTGACATGCCTTTTGTCTGAATGTAAGCTTTTGAACCTGGTTTTCCCCCCCAATAAAACGGCTCATCCAAGAATATCACATACCAAGGGACATCAGAGTTTTCAGCTTTCTCCCTTAAAAGCTGTCTAAGATGAGTGGATGCTATCATGCATCCCTCCACAGTTAATAATGGTAATTTAACACACTGACATGAGTATGTCCTTAGGGTGTTTCCTCTGGGACCGTTATTGTTTTGTCTCTTACATTAGTATTTAATCTACTTGTTTCACTGCCTTTTTGGCCTTCTGAATTCCCATTTTAACTTTAAGGTCCCTATTAATGTGGCTGAGGAGGACTAAACAGGACTCATTTTAGAGTCTATTAATGACACTCTTTAATCAGTAATAAGGATTACCAATAGTAAGAGGAAGTCATTTTCCCTGTGGGCAGACTATCCTATAACTGCCTACAGCAGGGTTTCCTTTTATGTTCCACAGAGACAACTAGTACTGACCATTTTGAAGACAGAATAGTCAATGGACCATTGTTCTGAACATATATGGTGTGTTTATGTTCTTTGATAATGATAAGCAGATATTGCAAAGAATCAAGTGTAATCCTAATCCCCCTCTTCCCAGCAGTCCTTCTTCCCAGAACACCATGGTACAGAAAGCCAAAGCCATCCATTCAGCCATCTCTAGGATGTTTGTGTCCCTGCCTGGCCTCTTACCTTCAACTGGGAAGATGGCTGAGAACAAAACCTGCACACCCCTGACTCCTTCACTCTTGCTCCCAGAGCCCTGTACTCACTGCTAATCTATTTAGGGTCCTACCTGGTAATATCATTAGTGCCCAGGTAGATAAGCAGTATAGGGTAGTGGTCAGAGAGATGAATGAGCCTCAGCAACCTTTCCGTAACATCTTGTATGCGGGCTCCAGGCATGCAGCACACTTCTTGGGACATCATGTCAGGTTGTCAGATGGATGTTTCTGTCTCCCGCTGAAAGGAGTCCCAAGCATAGCACTCTATGTCTCCTCCTTTTTGGTGTGATGGTTGTGAGCCTCTCAGTCTTTGGAGCAGGTGGCTCCTCCTCCTCAGATGTCAGGGTCTGCTCCTCACACTTCTTGTTGCTAGAACGGCATACCGGTTCTTGACCTCAATGGACAGAGGCCCTGGGTGGGGGCTCGAGCACTGTCTACTGTCCAAAGTGCCCAGCAGCCAGTTCTCCTCCTTCCTCTGGTGCCACTGTAGTCATCAGGCTAACCTCCATCCCATCTCCATGTGCATCCTGCTGATGAAGTACATGTGCTTCCGGAGGCTACACAGATGAGCCGCCTCCTCCTGCAGCTCCCTTACCTGCTTCCTGAGGGACTCCATCATTACACACCTCTCACACTGGGTCTTTCACTTTGCCTGGCTTTCTGTGGAAGGGGCATGCAAGCTGCATCCCCAGCAAGTCAAGACCAGGACCTGGTTAGAAGCCTCCTGGATCAGGATGTCTGTCTGGTCAAGGCCAGGGCCTTCATAGGTTCAGGCAGATGAAGAGCAATGCACCATTTTCCTTTTCCATTTTCCTCCCATTATAGGTTCTTCCTTGTGTAGTACCTGCAAGTTAAGGTGGGGGGAGAACCTTGCTCCCTGCCTTTCTCTGCTGGGAAACTCAGCTGGCTAACTCCCTTAATCTCCCAGCACACCAAACCAGCCCAGAGTCCTACCAAACTTCATGGCAAGTTCCCAGCACAGAAAAGTGCTCCTTTTTGTCCCCCAAAATTAATCAATGGCAATAAGACAGAAGTGGTCTAGAGATGTGCACCAGATGGCTAACTCCCTTAGTCTCACCAGCCATATATCTTACTTCTTATGTAGTATTATTAAAATTTATATTGAGAACTGGATAATAATTGGGTATCCTATCTGTGGATACGGTGCACTTCGTACTAATTGGTTATATGCATGCCTGCCTGCCTTATTTGGTTTACAGATGCTGCCCTCCATTTCTAATGTCCTCTTAGCTGCATAAGCAGCATAGAATAATAGAGGCATAGCCTTTATCGCTCGGTATTTGCCTATTTCCTTTGAACCTGAGCAATCCCATAGCCTTCATTCATTGCATTTCACCCATAAAATCACCCAAACCTCGGAGGGGAAAGTTCCGAGCCATCTCACCAGATTTGCTCTCCCAACGTCAACAAAAATGGGAAACGATTCTGTACCAGCAAGAAAGGAATATGGGCAAAGCTCAGCTCCTGGATCCTATTATGTCTGAAGATATTACTGTTGCCTGGGAAACCACTCTCTTTGTATACATGAGATTACTAACATATCTATATGTTTATCTTTAGATATGAGTTTATCACCTTGCCTATATGCTGTGTCGGGAGAAAAACCTGACACTGGATAAAATTTAGATTGCAACCTGCTAAAATCGATTAACTGTTTTATAAATTAAATTAAATTAATGGAGATATCCTATCTCCTAGAACTGGAAGGGACCTTGAAAGGTCATCGAGTCCAGCCCCCTGCCTTCACTAGCAGGACCAAGTACTGATTTTGCCCCAGATCCCTAAGTGGCCCCCTCAAGGATTGAACTCACAACCCTGGGTTTTGTGGTGTTAGAGGCATTTTCCTAATGTTAAATGCAATACAAACCATTCAGTGTCCAATATCAACAAATCTGATCTTCTGCTGTAAAGGTGGGTTATTCTTAGAGCCCTTCACATTCCAAGTTTAACTAGTGCTAGAAAGAAAAACTGTTCTTAAACCATCTGGTATATTATTAGCAGTTCAGTGAGCTCTATCAGGTGAGGCAGATAATCTGTAATCACAGGGAGTCAGGGTTATTTGAGGATTGGGATAATTTATTTAGTTTGGCTGGTTGTGAATGAAGATTGGAATATTGTATGTTGGGGAGTCTTTGTTTTTTAAAGGAAATACACAAGCCACTTTTAATATCAGCCAAATTACCATCAGGATCGTATTAAAAACAAAAGAAAAAAGAAAAATTAGAAACCACCACTGAACAGTCAGGCCCTTTGTCTACATATTGTTTCCCATAACAACAAACACAAGAGCGTTTGCACCTAACTGAAAGTTTAGATTTTTGCAGCATGATCAGCTTGTTCACTTCTCCTGAGTTTCTCCATGGTGTATTCATGGCATTACACACATATCCCCATAACAATTCTAGAATGAAGGACCTCTAAAGAGTTTAGAGATAGGAGCAGCAGGCAAAAAATAATAATACTACTGGCCAGATAAAAATATATGATAGTAAGCAATAAGAAGTAAGGAAATAAAGTTAGATGGGGTTTTATTAAAATACAATGAGCTGTATTCTGCCCTTATACCTGTGTTTTCACATTCAATTGACTTCAGTGGGGATTGCACAAACTCGTCCTTGGGAACATGTCAGCTCTGGGTATTATGTCTAAATCCAAGGAGACTATGAGAGGAGGTTTAGAGAAGAAAGGGGAAGGAAATATAATAATGTGGTGCTGGAAAACTCTTTATATCTCTGGAGTTATCTTAAATAAATAATTCAGTATAATCCTACTGCTTGCTTACTCAAATCACAAGACAACACTGTGCTTTCAAATTTTCTCTGCGTGTTGTATTAATTTCAATGGACTAAATGGACCCAAAGAGGAAAAGGTGTTAACATGACCCTGTCACTGTCCAACATAAAATAGTGTTAAACAAAGGTTGGGGTTTTGTATATGGAGACTTCAGCTTGCTTAGTGCCATGGCAAACACACCATTAATTTTTGTAACCTTTTATTAAAGATACAGAAAAGAAAGGGGGGAAGTGTTGAAGCATTTGAAATAAGAAGTATTAAGTAAGACTTTCATTTTAATGACTTCCCGTCTTCCATTTCCCTTAAGATGGAAAGAGTTTTTATAAAGAATCCTCCTCTCCTCCCACCCAACCCCATTTGGCAGTCTTTTAGATGGTATTAAAGATGGTAATAACTGTCCTTGGGGGTGGAAGAAGAGAAGAAGTTAGTTGAGCTGTGTTGGAGCAGGTTTTGTTGCTGTTAAAATCTGATCCCATTTCCCAGAAAACAAAACAAAACAAACACGAGAGAAAAGAACAGCAAAGATAGAAAATGTACCTTCTATCTCTGGTGTGGGCTCTCACTTGCAACCACAATGCTGGAGAAACATAGGAACAGCACATGGTCTTATCCACCACTTTGAGACCTGGCAAACTTGTACCAGCATCGGGTTGTTTCAGCTATTGCTTTTATCTGACTCTCTGGTGACAGGCTTACAGCAGTGTTGTGAAATATATGGTGTTGGCCAACTAAGTCAAACTCTTATTAGACAGAAGGAAAAAGGAGGATAGGAAAGTGAAGAACCCAGGTGTGTGTTGTGTATGTGGGGAAGGGGGGCGGTAGGATTCAGCCAAAGCAGGTGAAGATGGTGATGTCTCCTGTGTCCCTCTTTCTCACCTGGTCTGGTCAGGACGGTGAAGACCTAATAGCGTTACATTACATCCCGGGTCCTAGAAGATGGTGAGGTTGGCAGCCATGATTGTAAAGCTCACTCTTTCCCTTTCTTTCAGTGAGAAATGTTTGTATTTCCTTCCCTCCTAATTTTCCCCTCAAAATATTTTTAGGACCCCAAAAAGGGAGTAATGGTGAAATAGCCCATCCCCTTATTATTTTGTCCACCAATTAGGCCTAATTTCTGACATATCACTTTTATTAATTGATTTCTAGTCCCACACTTCTCTTGCTTATCAGGCATGGTCACAACACAGTCCTTGAATTGTACCAATAGACCTTTTTGTTTATACTAATTCAATCTGTCTCCCTTTTGTATCTTTCCCCATCATTTATGATAAGTTATTGTGCAATTTAAGAAGTTTCACTTATTATAGTTGAGCTCAGAATTTGGGTAAATTGTAGCCCCAGTTATTACAACAGTGTGATACAGGGCTCTTAAGCTGAAATACATCTTTATATCATCTACACTTTAGGTCACAAACTGGGACCCAAAGCTGTGTTTCCTACAGGAATACCAAAACCTAGCCATGGACACTAAATTCCATTTTGTACTTCAAGATCCCAGCATATCAATTGCCAGAAACAGTCTTTTTCTCTGGAAGATCCAACTCCTTCATTCAAGAAGTTAAGTAGGGGGAGAAGGAGTAGTGGGAGTAAAAACCATGTTACTAGGTCTTTCTAAAATTCTGATTCTGATGGACAGGGCTGCTCTACTAGTACAGCCAGCAAAGAATCCATGATAACCTTAGCTGAGAATACTTTGCACCCTATAAGCAGCTTAACTGTAGGATAAAAGCATACACATACCTCAGAGGTGTAAGACAGCATTTGGGAGTGCTCCACTAGCGCATTTTTTTTCTGTTGTAAACAGGGCTCAATATCAGAGTTAAAGGAATTACTGGGATCATGCTGTTCGCACACATGGAAAATGGAGGCTAAGGTGCATATATAGCTAACTTGGATACTTTTTTTTCATTGGAGGCCCTTTGGTAAATGTTCCAGGGTTTCACCAATAAAAATCTACTGCTGCATCTGGTACACACCCTACAAGGTAATTTTCAGTATTTCAGATATGGTTCAGTATAGCATTAAAATTATACCCTTTTATCATGTCATTCATCGTAGTGTGAATTTCCACAGTTTATTATGCTCATACTACGCATAAACATAATTACTTTACAGCAGGCTATAAATTCCACCTATTGGAGAACATAATTAGTTTTCATTATATGTTTAGTCTAGTTTGTTCATGTACAACATAAATGTATAGCAATTCTTCTTTGTGAAAGTATTATAAACAAATGAAGACCAAGTCTTCTATTTCTAACGCTGACCTTTCATTGATAAAGTTTAAATAAATAAATTTCATTCAATAAGAAAAGCATCTATATACTTTGAAGAACGTCGAATTCGAATATTGCTGATGTCTTTTTTCCTTAGGTCCCAGTAGGCCAA